CAAGAACATAAGCTCTGAGGCCAAATTGATACGAAACTAATTCTCAGAGCTTTCAAAACATGCAAGTACCAAGAGCCAAAGCTCTGATACGAAATTGATACAAATCTTGAGGCAAGATGATGGAATTACCTCAAACGCGGAAGCTTTTCTTTCCCAAAATTTGATAACTTGCCAAACCAATGTAGAAGACTCCAAAAAACGTGTAGAAAGAAGAAGGAATGATGCAAACCACAAAAATTTGCACCAAAAAGAGTGGAAGATTCGAAAGGTAAAGAATTGTGTTTTGGTTATCAACCCAATCGGTTCCTCTCCAACAACCATATTCCTTCGATTTACAGATAGAAAAAGGCTAGCAAAAAGGCTCCAATGAACAAACTAACAAAGCTCCACACATGAAGAATACTTAAAATCTTGCGTACGCATCAACAAAGTACAAACAAGTAAGCAATGCACTAATTTTTGAAAAGAATAGAAAAAGAACAAAGAGCTTCCTCTCGTCTTATATTGAAATATCAATAATTAACAATGTCATATTGAATTCTGGTCGACCAGCTCCCTTTATATAGGCAAAGGTTGGCTTGGAAAAAAAAATGTGAATACAAGTTCAAATCAGATTTGTCTACCTGAGTTTTCTAATTTAGATTTAAATAATAATTAAATAAATAATTGCGCATGTCACAATTGTTTAAAACTATCTAAAATCTTTTAGAGGTGTATTAAAGTCGATTATATTAATTAAATTACTGAAAAATTCTTTTCCTAACCGAAATAGGAAAGTTGGAAAAATTTTGCCGCACGCTGTCGACCACCTCGTCGACCAACAGCCTGCTCAACACAATCCTGTCGACTTTGTTGTCGACCGGCAGAATGCTCGACGCGCAACTGTCGGCTTTGTTGTCGATTTCCTCTCCTCGATTAAGAGCTTGACGTGCACTAAAAGTTTCAACTTCGCTCCAAGATAAACATGAAACTCAGAATTGAATCCACATTGAGAACTTGAACATCCATGAACAAGTTGTTGAGTGACTTATACATTTTCTTTCTTCGAGATCTCGTCATAGGACCTCTAATATTAGCTAATGGAGTTTGAACCACTTTTTGAGTTGGAACTTGATTACTCGGTTGAATGTTGACTTGTCCTTGAGTTTGATCACCTAGGATGTTCACATAACAAGTTGTCAAAGGTTTTTCAGGCTCTCAATAATTAATTAACCAACATAAATTTTTCATGAACTCAGAGGAAGATCAGGAATGTCTTCTAGATGCTAAAGGCCAACCCGATTCTCATGAAAGGCCATAAGAAGACATTAACATTCCTCAAATACATCAGAGATAGGGATCTTCTTTCCTCCTGTGGTAAGGATCATAACCCTGCTCTTTGGTTTGCTGACAACGGCGAAAGGCTCGACACTTATTGCAGCCACAATGGCCCCGTTTGCTATTGAGATATCTCCTGTCTTCTTGTTCTTTCTTCCATTCGGTTTTGTTTGTTTGCTTGTAACCAGTGCCAACAAGCTCAGATGATGAACAATAATTTCAGTGGCTCAAGCACTAGTTACTACTACAACCATTGCCCTCATTTTCACCATCCTCATGCCTATATGAGTACTGACAGCCACTCGTTACTATTACCCCGATGGTGATCATCATGTAACTACTGATATATTCAGTAATGATGACCATTTTTAGTGGTTTTTTTCCTTCGTTTTGGCCTTCCGGGAAGTGGAGAATGCAGGAATGGATTGTAAAAAAATCTCCGTATATACCGTGCTTAGCCATTACTAATCCTCGATCTTAAAAAGAATAAAAAATCTAATATATAAAGTTTTGTTATGGTGTAGCATACCCAGTAATTATACATGGTGCATTCAACTTTTATTGGATAGATTTTAACTGAATGGTTAAATTAAAAATTCATGACTGAATTATAAAATTTTTCTATATATATAATCTGAACAGAAAATTATGAACAACATTTGTGTTCTGTTTATATTTCTTTTGGTATACTACGTAGTAGTGTCTAAAACCATTCGTTACTAGAAAATTTCCTATTTTATGACACTTGGAAGTGTCTTAATGTGTATACTATTAGATATTTAAATTATTTTGAAGTGTCTCTCATTCCAGTGTGGTAATAGGTATCTGTGTAGCAATATATTATTGTATTAATAAATAAGTTATTAAGACATCGGAAAGCGTCTTTTCAAATTGTCTAATGTTACATATTTTAATGATTTTTTTAAAATTTAAAATTAAGAAAACAAATGTTGTTGATTTTAAATATTATTACGGTCTTGTATTTTCATTTACAATGTTTCATTATTTCCTTTGTGAATTATCCAATTGAGTTTTAGATCATTAATTAATGATATGATATAAAATATTTCAAATAAAAAGGAAAAAATTTAGAATCAATCATGCAATAAAGTAATACGAAGTATATTTTATACCAATTTAAAACACATGCAACTGGTACATAGAATCTCTGAACCTTGGCCATTCATTTACAACATACAAAATTTTAAACTATTGATCTTTTGATATGTGATTGTACATATAATGTAATTGTAAACATTTCTGTAAGAAAAATTTACCTTCTTACCATAAAAAAGAATTAAAATATTTTAAACTTGTCTAAAAGAAAATCCATATTATCTATTATATACAGTAGCAACTTGGTAAACCTTCTACCATCTTTAGAAATAGTTATCTCATAATTCGTAGGTAGAAAATGCAAGCATTTCACCCCACTAGCGCATGTCACACACCAAAATTATTTCAATTTCACCTGTAAGATCCCATCATCCCAGTATATATCACCCTATTGACTACTTTTAAAGCCAATAAACGATTAGAAATAGAGTACAAGCTTCAACTGCTGCTAGGATGAGAGTCTCTTTGATCTCCTTCTTTCTGATTGAACTTTTAAGATTAGGAAATGGTTGACTAAGATGCATGCTACTTCTAAAAAGGAAAATTTAGAGCAAAGTTAGGTTTAGATATTTACCAATTAAGTGACGGATGACTGAAAAGTTGTCATTAAATAGCTTCATTTTTCCTTCATCATCCACTAAGTAGCCTCATTTTGGCACTGGAATTCGGCATGATAGAAATGTCAGACACTTTTTCTTCGAATGGTATTCAAGCAACAAATATGATAATAATTTTAATAATTTCAAAATAATTGTATATATGATAATGATTTACAAGACGGGAGGTGTATTATATATACTTTTCGGTTCCTCCATTCTTAAGAGAAACAGCATAGTTCGAATCTACACAAAAAAATCGATCAATTTTGTGTAATGGAACCAACTTAGGCTCAACTCAACGCCTATATGTTTAAGTCAGTCCAAGTCTCCAGAACAAGAATCAGAAATGAAAATGGTCTGATCAGATCACATATGCCTAATTTTCTGCAAAATTAATGTTCATCCAGGACCCAGAATAAGTACAATATTAACATTTCATCGATCTGCAACATGATTACAAGACTCATAGGGCACAAAAACTGACATATGGGTCTCAAACGAATAATTGCCACAAATTTGGTGGAAAAAAGGATTGAACGTAATTTTTATGCGTCACTGCTTACGGCAGGTCATAGATGCGCGACTTTCATATGTAGAACTAGAAGGAATATATAGAATTCATAAATTCTCATTTATAAATATTAATGCCTCATAAAAAATATGACGAACAGCTTTTCTAATAAAATACTTCCTCTGTTCAAGAAAATAATTCCCATTACTATTTATAAATTAACAGTACGATTCAAAAGTTCTAATTAATACATGTAATTCACAAATTATAGTGTCAAATGTTTTTCCGATAAAAAAAAAAAATACTATGAACGTTAAAGCTCTGGTCAATATGGATAGGTACAAGTTGTATTCATTTTGTCCTGCTCAAGACCCCCATATGGGCAATCGACGTTCTCGGGCCACCACGTACTTATCTAAAATCTGCCTTTTCTATCGTTCAAATATTCAAATAGAAATCTACCTCGCAATCTTCTCTTACCATACACGTACAATGAGGATACAAAGGGGTGTGAAATATGTGATAATCGTTTCTTTATTGATCATTTGGTCGCCTATACTCCGGTCTTTCAAAGTATGAAATTGGTGCGGAATATTGCAAGACCGGATCTAACATTTATGAAGAGATCATTCGAGTTATCAAATAATTTTTATATTGTGGCTGGATCGGAAAATTGGTGTGTGACTACCAAAGTTAAATTTTATTATTATTCCGATATAAGATAATTTAATATTTTAGGCCTTCCCTTTTCTCATTATTGTATGATTCAGTAATTAACGTTGATGAGTTTAAAGGACTAGTCTATGTTTTTTGAGTACAATGTCGAAAATATATACTCTTTATATATATATATTTATATATATATTTATTTAAAAAAATTCAATTGAATTTTGATATTTGTACTGGAAATAATAATATAAATATTAAAATTTAATTAGGAATATTTTTTGTGGCCAAGAGAGTAACATTTTATAGCATGAAATGCATCTACCAACAACTTCATACACAATATTTGGCGAAGTGGGGAAAAAATCACTCTCCGACGTTTAAAACTTAGTTAAAATCATTCGTCACACTCATATTCATGACCACGCCAATGCAAAGAGAAATGTATAGAATACTATTTCCATATCTTTGGTCCTATTTAATATTATCTCCATATATTTAAAAAAAAAAATCCTGTTTGTTTTTATCTACATATACCCCGGTTCAGTGAACTTATCAGTATACTCCCTTCTCAAAATGTTATTATCAGTCATTTATTGGCTGCAACAACCAACAAATTAAAATGGGTCGACACTCGACAATTCTGATTTTTCTTCAACCCAAAGCTTTGTCTATATGGAAGACGATCGTCCAAACCCTCTACTATAAATAAGGAAGAAAATGCTCAATAATTTTCATCCTTCTCATTCCTTCAAATATACTACAATAGCTACAGTGACTAGCGAAAAATCATGAGTTCTAAGGCAATTCTCTTCTTGGTTCTTATGGCATTGGTCCTCATGATTGCCTCGGAGGTCTCCGCTAGGGATTTGGCTGAAAGTAAGATATTTATTCATGCAGTGCACTTTTCATTTACAAATTTCAATGTTTATTTAGTTAGAATTGTGACTTACTTCATCCGTCCTAGAAAAAGAGTCGTATACTTTGCATTGTTTCAAACAGATCAGATTGTAGTTTATAATTAAAGTTGCATAAAAAATGCGATTTGAATTATTCATTGAGTTTCACTATAAAACGCGACTTTATTTTACGTGTGGTTCTTATACTGAAATTTAACGTCCACGCAATGCTGTTTTTTATTCAGCAAATGCAGCTGAGACAAATGGCTTAGAAGAGTCAAAATACACAACAGATGGCCATTACGGCGGCGGTTACCGTGGTGGAGGCTACGGTAAGGGGAAGGGTGGATATGGTAAGGGGAAGGGCGGATACGGTTGCAAATATGGCTGCTGTGGACGCGGTTATTACAAGAAAGGTTGCAAATGCTGCTCATTCCCGGGTCAAGCTGTGGATTCCATTCCAGAATCCAAGCCAGAGAATTGAAGATCCTACTTTATGTTTTAAATGTTACATACTCTATCCGTTATTTAAAAATTAATTTGTTTTGTTGAATTAAAACAATACAACAAAATGAATTATAAAAGACGGACAGAGGGAGTACGAAAATAAGAATGTATCTCTGTGGATCATTCACTCTTTGTGTGAATTGTCTCTTCTTTCATGTATGTCACGAACTAATGTAAACTTTTTGTGGGCTGCATATCACAAGGAATGTTGAGTATGTTTCTCTACTATTTATGCTTTTTATTTTTTTCTGCAATTGAACTATCGAGACTAAAAATATAGTATACTCGAATCTCTGAAGACTTATTTCGGGGTTTTTAATTTTTTTTTTCCAGGAAATGTACCTGAGACTACTTAGGAATCTAAATGTAATAATGTAATGTTATAGACTTTTGTCTTTTTATCGTACCAAAAGAAATTTTGAAAATAATCGAACTGAAGCAAATAATTTAATCATCCAACTTGAGCTTGAGTCTCGATAATGTGTTAGGAGATGGCCGCCGCAGTTTAGTCCAACAAAATATTGGTTACCAGTTATAGATCAAATATTCCCAAAACTCGTGTTGGATTAAAAAGGGAGAAGAGGATAAGATATGTTTGACCTAATAAGGATAAGGAGGATCATTTTTGTTATGGATGCTAAAAAGTGTTTTGTCAGAATCATCACTAATTTAAGAAGTATTCAGTAAAATATAAGCATCTCTTTAAAAATGTTCAACTTAATATATTATGCATTCTTCTACTTTTTCTCTTTCAAAATTAGTTATGTAAATAGTTCAATATTTCTAAATGATTGTTTTCATGACACAGTTAAGTAAACTTTTTACAAATCTTTCAACTTTAAAATGTAGGAATCGAGTGATGTCCTAATAATTAGGGTGTTGTACCTTAAGGGTTGAGGGTTCGATTTCTACTTTGGATACAGGAAGCAAGCAGATGAAAGAAATAGGTAACTAATCTTAGTGGTCTGGTCAAACAAGTAGTTTGCACGTGATAACCACGGAGGAACGGATAACCAGAGCTAAAGGCACACTCAAGTAGAGCCTGCCCTTCGCACTTCACCCATTTAGCAGTACTACTCCCGCCCCTAGTAGGCTCCCAGACTTTGACCATGGAGGACCGGACAACTAGCCAGAGCTAGAGGCATATTCGACCAAGTATAGCTACCATAATTACATATCATTTTCCTCACCATAATTACAACATCTAGCCATTGACCAAGTATAGCTAGTAATCAACCTCTTAATACCATTTCAAACATTAACCTAGTTTTTGAAGCAATGATACTGAAAGAAAACGACATGCAAATTAAGAATTATGATATTCATCCAACTCTTACATCTCACTTACATGTCAATTATTTGTTGGACAATGTATTTCCTTAGCTTGGTATACCAGTTCTTACCCTACATCTAAATGATCTAATGAATATTATATTTCTTATTAATACTGGTTTAGTTGACAAATCATTTGCATTATTATAATTTTTTCCTAATGGACTTTTTTTTGGGGGGGAGAAATTAGTCTATTTATTTTAAAGTTTTGGATATAAAAATATCTAAAAAGTCTGTAAGTCGAAGAAAAAATAATTAAATTAGCTTGTTAAAATTCACCCAATAATGACTTGTCATGTGAGGTGTGATACAATAGTGAAATAAATTAAGCAAGTTGTGTATCATTACTGGTAAATTAATTTCAGGTCTCTTAGTGTTACGAGTGGAGAAGAGAGCTAGTCACTAGAAAGAAAGCTAATCAAGCTTGTCATTTAATGCTACATTGCGAGTATGCCGGTCAAGAACCCTAGTGATTCTCAAAACATCATGTCACTTGAAAGTTGAAAGATCAAGGGCACATATCTTAATGCTAGTGGGGAATCCTTCATGCTACTTCTCTTGGTGCATTTAGAGTTTGATCGAGCTTTTCATCATCAATTAAATTTTTTAATACTTCTAGCTATGTAATGGTTTATTTTCTTAAAATCAAAAGAAAATTATTTCTAATCTTACGTAATAAATTACCTACTAATCTGAATAGTTTTAGCTTGAAACTTGAAAGTAGTAACGTCTTATACTCATTTCTATCTATCTCGTCAACTTTTATTTATTTATTTTTAATTAAAATTAGCATGGTAAATACGCTATTTCAATGATAGTAAGGAACAACAATATCTACAATAAGTTAACAACCAAATCGGCAATATATAATATCAGACATAAAATGTACTCAATTTCTTCTACGCCAGCTACATCTTGATCAAGTCAATAAGATCCTCACCACCATCAGATCAATGGTTGCTGGTTTCTTTTCAATATATAAATTTTCCTATAAGCAGGACCATTCTCATTCAATTCCCCCAGCGATTCCGAAATACACTCGACACTCGATATAAATTTATTTATTAGTTTGAACAACCATCAAATTAAGATGGGGTCGACACTCGGCAATTTCGATGTTGCTTCTATCCGTAGCTTTGTCTATTTGCAAGAGCAAGAGGATCACTCAACCGGCTACTATAAATAAGCAAGGCAATGAAGAATAATTTTAATCCTTCTCATTTCTTCTCTTTCGAGCATACTAGAAGAGTTACATATGGACAAGCAAAAAATCATGAATTCAAGGGCAATTCTCCCATTGGTCCTTACGGCATTAGTCCTCATGATTGCCTCGGCTAGGGACTTGGCAGAAAGTAAGATAGTATATACTTATGCATTGCACATTTTCATTTTCAATTTCCAATGTTCATTTAGTTAGAAATATTACGTACTCCCTCTGTCTTAAGAAAAAGTGTCATATTTTATATTGTTTTAGTTTAACAAATGATGAATCCGTACTGTTTTTTCAGATAGATCAGGCAGTTGTTCATAAAGTTGCATGAAAATGCGATTGGAATTGCATTCTGATTGTGTTTCACTGTAAAAAGAGACTTCAGTTCGTGTCTATTTTAACACTCACACAATGTTAATTCTTTATCCAGCAGATGCAGCCGAGACAAATGGGTATGGTGGTGGTGGTGGGCATGGAGAAATGGGTCCTATCCGTGGCAATCCCGGCGGAGGATATGGTGGTTGCCGATTTGGTTGCTGTGGAAGCGGTTATTATGGAAATGGTTGCGAATGTTGCCCGTTTCCGGGTAAACCTGTGAGCTCCATTCCCGAAACCAAGCTACGGAATTGAAGATCCTATTTTTTTTAAAAAAAAAAACGCGGTGCCTGTATATTAATTCGAAGTACCTATACTATTACATTGTAGTTTAGTATAAGTTAAATTATGTAAATCACAGACATCATTCCTACTAACTTTAATTAAAGTAGAAGATTGAAATGTACACTTTAATTAATGTAACCTAAGTACAACTTTTTGAGCCTCTGTTGGGAGAGAATTGGGCCTTTGAGTCGTTGTCAATAGTTCACAATCCTTATGGATGACCACATTGACTAGGGCAAAATCTGAAGCCTGTTAGAGATCCATAAGGTATGTCATAACTTAAGTTTGAAAAGATGATAGTGCTAAAAGCTGCACAAATTTAATTTGCATGAGTTGCCCCATTGGTGAGGTTATTCTCCATGCCCCTACTACTCTTTTGATTATGGGATGGAAGGAACCATCGAATACTATTTTATGTTTTAAATGTTACTTTGTCTGTTTTGTTGATTTTTTCCTAAAGAAAAATATTCCCTTTATCCCAAAATTTACATTAAAAAATAATTTAATGTAAATCATTTTTTTTTGAGATAAAAGTAACAATTTATTCTCTTAAACTAAAACAAAATAACAAAATGAATGATAAAACACGAAAAAGGTACTAAAATAAGCACGCATCTCTCTTGCGGATTATTCACTTTCTATGTGAATAGTTGTTTCCTTACTTATTAGTCATTAATGGAAACTGTAATTTTTGGTTTCATAGGACAAGGAATGTTAGACTTTTATCTTCTTCTGCTATTTCTGCCTTTTTCCTTTGTTTTTGGTTGCAATAGAAGTATCAAGACTAAAAATATAGTATACTTAAATTGTAAGGACTTATTCGGGCTTTTTATGAATTTCCCAGCAAATCTACATGACAAAAGTTAGAAATCGAATGTAATAATGTAATAATGTCGTAGAGTTGTGTCTTTTCCTCGTACTAAAAAAAATTGAACCACTCATTTTAGATTGCCTTTTTGGGGTAGCACTCAAGTTATACCAATTAAAATATAAGGCACTCGGTATTCCCTAACTAGGGAGCTCCTGATTTATATCATACGCGCAACCCACCTTCTTCAATATTACAAAAATACCCCCGGTAAATTCGGTCCACGTGCCTAGGAAAAAAATATAAATTACCGAAAAATTCACAAAATCAGAAAAAACACTTCGTTACCTCTGCAGGCGATTTTTCTCTCCAGATCTCCGTCCGGCAATTTCTTCCGGCGAATATCCACAAAATCCATAAATCTCTACTAGAAATCTGCTACAAGCCTCTCTCCTGTCATTCGGAAGTGCATTTAAACCTTCCGTCTGGTGAATTTTAGAAGAAACTCGGTTTCAAATTTCACATCTGAGAGCGATTTTGGTTCTAAACATCGCGATTCTTCTTCATTTACAAATCTAGTTATCACAGTAAGGATTCACTTATGTTGACATGAACATTTGTTGTTTTAGATCAGATTTTTTTCAAAACTTGGGTTTTGAATTCTGAATTTTGTCATTCGAGCTTTTCTGATTAGTTTTTTGATGTTCATCCACCGATTCTTACAGCGAAATAGTGAGAACCAAAGCAACGAAAATTGCTACGCACACTGGAGGCTAGCCAAGCGTCATCATCAGGCTCAAGCGTTGATGATAGGTATTGTTCATCCTCAATAAATTCTTTAGGTTTAGACGTCATTTCATAGATCTAGTAGCGTGAGATAATTTTTGAGACTCGGTTGTTCATTATATAGATGTGGTTGTTTATCCTGTATGCTTTGATACTCATCCTGTATATTTTGATGTTCATCCTGTATCCTGAGACTCAGTTGTGATTGTTTATGTAAAGGTTGTTGCATTGTTTGTGTGGTTGTTCATCCTATATGCTTCGATGTTCATCCTGTATGATTCGACGCTTAACTTGACAAAGAATGTTAGGTTGCTCATTCTGTATGCTTTGATGCTCATCCTTTATGATTGATGCTCATCTTGACCGAGAATGTTAGGTTTTGCACATCTTGTATGTTTTGATGCTCATCCTGTATGGTGATTTGATTTTGTTTGATGTTCATTTTTTGATATATGTTCACTGCCTATCGTTAAATGTTCATCTTGTATTCTATCTTGCTCATTTGCTAGTCATCTTATATTTCTTTCATGTAGCAGAGATCAATACAAGAGTGTGAAGAGAGGCAGTAAAGACAAGAGTCTCATCATCCAAAAAAGCCATTGAAGAAAAAGAAACCAGAAATAGCGCAAAGAAAGAGTCTGAATTGTCTACACCAGTCACCACAGAACAAAGGACGAAGTATAAACAAGATGCTGGCAATATGGTGGCAAAAAAAGAAGAAGAGAAAAAAGGCAGCTTTAGCAAAGAAATCACCCTCTGACTGAAGAAAGATGACGAGAAAAAATAGTGATAATGGTTCTGTGCCAAAAACAGCAACAAAGAAGGAGAAAGCTGCAAAAAAGAAACAACCCAAAAAAGAGGTTTCAAATTCTCTAACGAGAGTGTCGTCGGCCGGAGCATATAAAATTTTTGGTGCACTTGACCCTGACCAAAGAAAGCTTGTTCAGGAAACAGGTTTCGGGCACCTTTTGAGCATGAGAATCAGTAATTTTTCACTCCCGTATTTGTCCCTTTACCTGTTAAAAAATTTCAAGTTCAGCAACAAGACGTTGCTGATTCAAGGCGGAAGAGAAGAACTGAAGATCAAGGAAGAAGATGTGGAAGTTGTGCTTGGAGTACCACGTGGTCCGAAGACAGCAGTTGAAACTTATGATTCCAGGGACAAGTGCAAAGAGTACAGAAATCTTGTCCGGCAGAGATGAGGGAGACATTTAAAATGAAAGACCCAAATGCGTGATCACCCATAGCAACCCAAATTGGGAAATACCTTGTATCGGGTGATCCTGATTGCCCAGACCCCAAAAATCTTCCTGAAGAACAAAGAAACCGAATGTATGGACAAGAATTTCAAAAGGTATGCTCCAATGTTTTCAAAAGGTTCCTGTATTGTTTTTGTGGTTGCTCATCATGTATGCTTTGATGCTCATCCTGTATGCTTCATTGCTCATCCTGTGTGCTGCTTTTCTGTAGGTACTTTGTGTTGTTTGCGATGGCTAGCATGCTCCTCAGAACAAAGAACGCATGTTGCCGCTACCAAGTAATGAAATCATTGATGAACGTCGATGACATAAAAAATTACAACTGGTGCAAGTATGTAGCGAAGGGACTCTATGACGCAGTCGAGGAGTGGCAGAAAAATCCTAAGGGTGCTTTTAATGGGCAATTGATCTTTCTCATAGTATATTTCACTTACTTTTCCTTTTTTTTCCCTTCTTTATTAATTTTGCATGTGAAATAACTGAATATTATGTCGGTACCAAAAAACATTGCAGTTGTGCTATTTGGGTTTAGTTGAGTAAAAAGGCGGGGATGAAATCCCCCGGCAGTTTCCTGTGATTGCTCACTGGGACAACGACCGAGTAACAAACAGGCTGGCTTTGGAACGCAGGGGTGTAGGTTTTGGAAGTGGCAAACCACTAGACAGGATTGCCGTACCAGACAGAATCATAGAGGATGAGCCCATCCAGGTCGAGAAGATGAGGAAAGTTGATCATCCGCAAGCACAACCTAAAAATCAAGGAGATACATCAACGACAGATAAGGTACATCCTATGAGACTCAGTTGTTCATTTAAAGATTGTTGTATTGTTTGTGTGGTTGCTCATCCTGTATGCTTCGATGCTCATCTTGACATAGAATATTTGGTTGTTCATCCTGTATGCTTTGATGCTCATCTTGTATGCTTTGATGCACATCATGTATGTTGATGTTGATTTTTTCTGATGTTCAATTTTAATTTTACTCTTAAGGAATTGGGTCTTGGAACTAGGTTCCAACATGTGATGGTTAACAGGATGGGGCCTCTTATCCTTGACCTGGGCTAGTTGTTTGAAGAAGCCAGTCGAAATGGAATTGATGGACACAACATGTTCTTTAAATTCTTCAACGACTATGCCGAAGTCTTGAAGAGAATGGCGGCTCATGCAGGGAAAAAGGCTGAAGATCAAGAAGTCAACTCAGTTCCCACTGACCAAAATAAGAAGCAAAAAGCAGATGGCTCTCAGATACCCAAGTATGACAAGCCCCCAAACCCAAAAGTATGTGGTTTTGAAACTGCAACACAGATGGATGCATGGTGGAGTTCTCCGGAAATGTTGGAGTGCATTAGGTCGCTTTACCAGGTTATAAAGGAGGCCAAAAGTAAAGTCCCAGAACTTTCTGAAGGGCCAAATTTTGATATAGGAATTACTCTACATTTTCTGCCACAACCTGTCAATGTTCCCGAAGAAAATGACTCTGGTGCTAAGAGTCTTCATCATAATAACTCATTCACTAGCCTAGAACATGCATCTGTTCAAGTTTCCATTCATTTCCAGGGTAACGAACATCATACGACTCCATCAATTCAGAGTGACGAACCTCCAACAACTCCACCCATCACTAGGCCGCCAAGTTCACAAACTCTTGAGACAAAACAAGATTCTGTACGGAAGTAAATTCATAGCTATGCATTTAAAGATTTAAAATTCAACTTATAAACTCAGATGCTCATCCTGTTAAAGCATGATGTTTAACTGACTTTCTGTAACTACAGTAAATCTGACCATGTGAAATTTATTTTGTGTTCAAGTGTTTTCACCGGTGCAGAGACCTAGAGCAAGGACTAGGATGAGGAACCTGTTGAGTACAGGTCACCGCCGTTGAAGAAGGAACTAAAGAAATTAACAGAGATTACCCCTATCAAGAAAACTTTTGCCGACTTCGTTTTCTCAAGACCTGATGGTGAAGGGAATGAATTCAACAGGTAAGCATGATAGGACAATGTGCATCCTGTTAAACTAAAATGTATGTCCTGATAAAATTAATACAATGTTCATCCTATTAAACTACACTCTGGTGCAGGAAAACCGTGTATATGACCTACGAAGCCAAACCATGGTAAAACAACCTGTGATGTACCTTTATCAGGACAAGCATAGTTTGAAGTCATTTCATTTTAATGAGCAGCTGTTCAACTATGTTATTGATGTTTGGTTGCTGCATCTAAACGAGTTACACAAGTCGAAGAACTCCTGGGCGAGGAATTGTTTTTTCACCTCCTCTTTGTTTGTAATACTCTTTTACTCATCACTTATTTGTAGTTTACTATGCATATCATCGGTTAAGAATTTAGCGTCATTAACAGTTTGTTACAGCTCTTATACGACACTGAGATTCAGATGTTCATTTCACTGATCTGGTAGGGTGATGATAATTCGTGAGACTCAGTTGTGATTTTTCATTCTGTATGCTTTGATGCTCATCCTGTATGATTCGATGCTCATCTTGATAGAGAATGTTAGTTTGTTCATCTTGTATGCTTTCATGCTCATCCTCTTAAAGCACGATGCTCACTGTGTGAAAATGCTGTATTTACAGTTGTTCTTTCCAGTCCACAAACAATTTCACTTCTATCTGGTTTGTTTAAACATGGACAACCAAACTATGTATATCCTAGACAACAAGCCAAATGTGGCCAAAGGTCACATACCATTTGAAAACAAGTATGGTGGAGTTTTTACGTTCATCAATGCTGCTTTCTCGAGGTACCTCGCAATGCAAGGCACGAAATTGCTGCATGATATTACGACATTCAAGCGCAGTGTCTTGTACTTTCGTGGGCTGGTCAGACCAACGACAAGGACTGTGCAATATATACCATGCCCCACATGGAAACCTTCGAAACCACAACAAAAGATTACAACTGTGGCATTCCAACATATGGCACAGCATCGGTAAACCTATATCATTTTAATCCTTTCCTATTGTTTTCACCATTTACCTAATCTTACATGATGTTTGTTTTGTTTTCCTTTCGACGCTTTTAAACAGAGGACAAAAGTAAACCTTCAAAAAAGCCTTAACATTTTCTGGCTGAGACATCTAGCTGAGATCCTGCAGTCAAGTACCAACAGCATGTACAAGACAGAGCTTTAGGAAATGGTCGATAGATTTTATCTAGAAAAATTGTAAAGCAAAAAGTCTTGTGTAAATTCAACTGGTGTGCACTGTTAGTGGACTTCAGATTTTGACTTATCATCCCAAAAGTTTGTAGCTACAATGTGAATCATGCTGAGATCTCTGAAATGTCTTTTGAAAATATAAAATTCATTATCCTTTTTGTTGTACACTCACCAATCGAAATGTGCATCCTGTTATACTAAAATGTTCATCTTAGAGTCATGGTCCTTATTTTTCAAATGTTCTGATCATCCGGCTAAACTACAATGTTCACCCTGTTAAATACAATGATCATCTTCAACAATCATCTACAACCATATGTTAATCATTTATTTTCATTATAAGAAAATTTAAAAGGTTAATCATTTTCCGGCGCAAACTCAAAAGGGTTCAGGGTGCAGGATATCACATTAATACTATACTTGTGCAGAACTACAATGTTCATTTAAGAACATGAAATGCTTATTTCATAAAACTACAATGCTCATTTCATAATAGTAGTTCATCAAAAACTCAAAATATTCATAGTAAATGGCGTAACTTTAAAAGGTTGAAATTTAATCGTTTCCCGGTGCAAACTAGTTCCTAACCTATGATTGAAATGGCATAAGAGCATTGAAATTTTACTTTCAACAATGTCTCTTGCAATCAAAATATCAATATGTGTCAGCATTCTATCAAATCTAATAAAAATTACTTTGATAATTCCTTACGGATTTATTTCGATATTTAATTACAATTATTATATTTATTTAACACTAGTATTATCCCGTGTGCATTGCGCGACCAGTTTATATTTTTAATAAATTATTAGAAAATAAATGTCAATACTGATAATTTTATAACAAGATCGCGAAAGTCCATTGTGGCTAAATTTATTTACACGTCTAATTGTTTTTGAAAAGAACCTGGCCAGTGATTTTTATTTAGTTTCTTCTGGAAAATATACATTCGTATGTTTTAATGAGTATTTAAGTATTCTCCCCATTTAACGTAATATATAACAAATCAAATAATTATTTTATGACGAAAAGAATACTTATAAGTCGTTATAATTTGTGAAAGTTCTTTCTCATTATATACACATTCAAAACAAATGTACGCATTATTTCTAGAGGGGAAGTATAACCCAAACATAAAGGAATTAGAAATCAAAAGAAGAATAAAGCATCATTTGGTTGACAGAGAAATTAGGAGCTAAAAAGAATAGCTCAAGACATGAAAACTTCTTGGGACTGAAAACTTCAAAGTACCTTTTAACTTAAACCGTTGAGATGATTTCAACTTCAGCAATTCCATTAGGCTCATTGATAGCTATTTTTTTCAATCTGGTCATTATTTCTGTAGTTCTTAATTGGGCGCTCTTCAAGTACGTGTTTGAATACTTTCTCAACCTCTTCATTCAACAAAGAATGGAACGTTGAATATATCTTTCGAAGGCCTCTCTTTCTTAAAGTAATCTAGTCCCCACACCTAATTTTGCTGAGAATGGAAGCAGGTAGTAAGCATTTCGAGCATGATCACCCCAAAGTTGAAAGCAGTTCGAGCACGAAAAATGACACAAATATGGTCCCAAGTGGTGGTGTAAGCAGGACTATGGCTAGGTTTTCGGAGTTAGAAAGAAATATGTTTCTCGCAATTGGCAAATGCGAAAAAACCAACTTCCGCATTCGGCAAATGCGAAAATGTATTGAATTAATTACAATGCATTAAAGACATTGGATTAAAACTGGATAATTATAATTATTGTAAGTGTTCGCATATGACATATGCGAAAGGATAACTTTCGCATATGTCATATGCGAAATAAACTTTTCGCATATACCATATACGAATGTTTTAAATTTGTATTTAAAAATTGTTTCCTAACTTTAAATTGGTATAAAATGAAATGTTGTAAATTAAATATTTTGGTTGGTAAAATGTTGTAATATTTCAAAAAAAATGCTATTTTAATTGAAAATTAAATTTTCTAAATTTAAAGTATTCATTTGATTTAAGTAAATTTATGTTAGTTCTAAATAGAATTGCAATCCTAAAAATTATATTTGGTGAACAGAAATCGTATAATGTATTTATAATAAAATTTGAATAAGTAAATTAAAATTTCGGTGAAAAATTAGAATATAATCTTGCGTTTTGTAACCAAGTTTGCTTTTAAAAAAATTGACTTTTATTTGGTTTTAATTTAAAAACTTACCATTAGTAAAAATATAATGTCAAAAAATCAAGTTTATTAATTTTAGGATAATAATATTTTTTACATAATAAAACTTAGAATCAATTCATTTAAAGTAAGGAAAAAAACTAAAACTTTTAGAATCTGACATAATATAAAGGAAAATGGCAAAAATATAATGTGGTCAATGGCCTCAGATCACATTTGCACAGTACCACAATGAAAATTGAACAAGAAAGTGCTTCAATAAAACGCTCTGAAGAGCTGCTTCCAAGAAAGCTATTCCAGGTTGACGGTTGGCATTGACACCATCAGGAACAATCATATTTTCTTGCTTTCATCTAACATAATCAGTCCTGCTAAACTTGATAAAACCACACTTCCTTCTAACAATGATCTTTTGGCGACCTGGAAACTTGAATTTGGCACGACGAAAAAGATAGTATTGTATAAAAGTAAGAGTTAAAAAAATTGTACATAATATTGTCTTTTTGAGAAATTTTCTTCTTTAATGTTTGCCTTTTAATTTTTTTTTTTTATCTTAAAGATTAAATAAAACCGAAATAAATTATTAATGAAAAGAAATGAAAGGTATTGCTTAAAACTAATAACAAAAGTCATAAAATAGCATAAAATAAAAGTACAATTCAATCTTATTTTTCTACATCTTGCGCTTTTTCTCCCGAGAATTCGTCATGCAGCACTTTTTCTTCTTCTTTATGTTCCGCTGTCCCTTACCCAAAGCAATCTGTGTAAAAGGCATGGTACCATCACTGGGGCCCTGTCCCTGATCAGCGCCCTCATCATGATCATGAGAGGAATGCTCAACATCATCAGCATCATCATCATGCTCCTGATCCCGAATATCCTCATGATCTTGATCATCTTCCTGATTATTATGGATATCGTCACCGCCTAGATGCTGACTATGATGACCACCCTTGTAACTAGTCTCAAAGAAACCCCCAGCATTAGGATCTAGATTAATAAAATATGAATTAAAATGCATTTACTCAAAAGGAGGAGAGGGATGGTGGTGTGGCGATGCTGGACGGTAAGGAGACACATGTGGGGTAGAAGATTGCCCGCCGGTATCCTGGGTGGCCACAGGTTTTCTCATTCTCCCACTCCCTAACTGGAAGCCGCCTCAGTCAGTCCTGGGAGGCCTAGGTGGGATATACTCCTGGGTTGGGTCAGCTGGAAGAAAATCTTGGCTTGGGTTCTCACTATCAGCCCAAACAGATGTCTTGCTGACAGTCATTGCCTGCTGTGTCAAATCGTGCAGCTGTAGGAAGGCATTGTGATTCTAAGAATCACCTGGATTACGTTGTAGCCCATCTAGAGTAATGTGCCGCATGTTTTGCACTAAATTGGCCTGAAAATTATGAAAGGAAATAAATATATGGTAAATTAAAAATATATAATAAATATACTTCATAAATGAACATATATATGGTAAATTAAAAATAGGAAATAACATTTTAGAAAGTTATATGTATAAAAATCATATTAATATGGGTGTGATTAAAGAAGTAGTAGAACTGTAACTTGCCATTATATGTAGTGACTAAGCAGATCCCTGAAAACCCTGGGGGTGACGATAGTCTGATGGATTGGTGACCAAAGTGACAGTGCGATTTTGATACCACACTACATATTCCGGTTCTGCATGGGTTCAAGAGTCATATCCGTCTGAAGACCTACAAGGGTGTTGTGTCGAGTCTCCCACCTCTGTAAGACGTCATCTCGACGTTTCTTACCACGCGTCTCCTTATGCAACTTTTCTATTTCTTTTTTCTCCATGAAAGTGTTGTCAGGCACCCGCTGCAAGAAGCCGAACTGGCGCAACACCCTGCCTGGGATGTGTGGCTCTTGGATACCAAAATAAAGCTGCCAAGTCTGGGACATCCATATGGCGGAGCCGGCAGAGCAAGATGGATCAATGTCTGCTAGGGTAGCAGGAGAATACGGCATCCAAACAAACTGTAGAGGGACAGATAATACAATAAATTTATGTGAATATATACGAAAAAAAATAAATTGATTTATACGTTATGATGGTTCAAATAAAAAATACTTACATTATGTTCTTGCAAAACCGCAAGCTGGTCTCGATAGGCGGTTAGATTAAATCGTGTGATGTCTCTCACTTTTCTAGGACGGTTTCACCTACAAAAAATATAGTTTTGATTGAAAAAACGGAAAAAAATTATCAAAAAATATAACTAATTAAGATAATTATTGAATAGTTGAAAATTAATTACCTCGTGCCCAAGGGACACCCCGGAAGATCTGGTACGGGCCCATGTAACTCCGGACGGAAAGTCAAAATCCGCTCCCAGCCCATAACTAATTTGTAATAAAATAATACGTGAAATTAAAAATACAAATGCAATAATTAAAAAACTAACAATAAAATACAAATATCATAATAGGATTCTAACAAAAAATGAAAAATAAGGAAAATAAAAATAAATCTAAAAAAATTAAAATAAAATGAATAAAAAACTAACAATCAAATATAAATACAAGAGCGGTTTGAAATTACCTGTAAGAGTAGTAAGCAGCCACAAATACCCTGTCCAGACAATGTGATCACTGAGGAAGTACATAGATTTCGGTACAACGTGCCCGCTGAAGGTGCATATCCTTTGTAGCATCTCCGGGTAGCAGATTAGTCATAATGTGTCTCTTTATATCTGTGATGTTTACTACCTTATCCTTCGTGGCCTTAGGACACTGTCGGAATCCAAACAGACTCTCTAAATAATCGGCCCACTCCACATCCTGCGGAGGTACTGTCTCCTGAACCACTGCATGGCCATCAACCCGCAGACCCAGAAGGACCTCGACATCCTGTAGAGTAATCGTCGCCTCTCCAACAGGCAAGTGAAATGAATGGGTCTCAGGCCGCCATCGCTCAACTAAGGCTGTAATAAGGGCCCAATCTAACTTAATAGAACCAATTCGAAAAAGCGGCCCTAGACCAAACTTTGCTATTTGGGCATGTATCTGTGGGGCAGCCTTGTCCAGTTCAGGCCATAGGTCAGTATCCACTCGGTATGCGGAAAGTTCTTTCAAATAAGCCTTATTACCCCTAAATGTATGGAATGACCTATGATCATCATGAAGGACCAATAAACTCTTATCTATAGGACCCTGCTGGAGGTCATATTGTGTAGATTGCAAAGACGATGATGATCCCGTCTCCATACCCTAAATAAAAATAATACAAACAAATACAAATACACTAAATAAAAATAATACAAACTAATACAAATACACTAAATAAAAATAATACAAAATAATACAAATATCCTAAATAAATATAATACAAACTAATACAAATACACTAAATAAATATAAAACAAACAAATACAAATACACTAAATAAAAATAAAACAAACAAATACAAATACACTAAATAAAAATAAAACAAACTAATACAAATACACTAAAAAATAATAAAACAAACTAATACAAATACACTAAAAAAAATAATACAAACTACCCTAAATAAAAATAAAACAAACGAATACAAATACATTAAATAAAATAAAAACAAAAAAAAGAACAATTCGTCGGCCGACGACAACAACAACAGCGTAACAACGCCGGCCGAAAACAACAACAACAGCTTAACAACGCCGGCGCCGACGACAACAACAACAACAACAACAACAACAACAACAACAACAACAACAACAATGCCGGCGACAACAACTCCACTAGATCTAAATTCGCCGGTCGTAAATGCGAAGAAATCAATGGAATAAATAAACTAGAACAAAAACGAAATAACACGACATAAAAATTAAAATAAACAAAGCATTATGAAGTAGAAAACACTTACCTACCTTTTGTGGAAGAGGAGGTGCCGGGAACAATGGCTGAAAAACGGGGAGAAAGCCGGGGAGAGAGGAGGCGCCGGCTTCAATGGTGAAAACCGGGAAAAAACCGACGGGGGGAGAAGTTTTCGAAGTTTTAGATCTGAAGTTGTTCGCATTTACAGTATGCGAACTTAACCTAGATGACGCCACGTGGCGCCCCAGGCCAGATTAAGAATTTTCGCATTCCCCTTATGCGAATACTCCACTATACGGGAGTCCAGGAGATGACGCCACGTGGTGCGCCCTAGACAGTTTCATATTGTTCGCATTCCCTTTATGCGAAATATTCATGGTCCGGGGAACAATGGCTTTTCCCACGTGGCCCGATGAATGGGAGGCATGACTTTGTTCGCATATGATACATGCGAATATATTTTAACTACAGTCTATGAACTATAACGTTTACTAATATTCTTTGAGGGTAGTCTTGTACTACTGGACAGTACACAAATACAAACATAGACTTGCATATTGTTCGAATTATTACACAAACCAAAACCCAAATACAAATTCAGAATTCTTAGACTTATTACACAAATACAAACTCAGAATTAATCAAACCATTACACAAACACTACCAGAACCACTACTTAAAGATTATTCAGATTATTATGCAAACACAAACTTTGAATTCCTACTCAGAATTTGGAAGATTGATCATCAGAATCATCGGTCTGCATATGGGGTACACCATGCATTCCATATCGATCGTAAGAATGATTCAAAGGAGTCCTGTCTGAAGATGGATGTGAGAATGCACAGTTGAAGGTATCATGATCAAATCCTCCACATCGCGCGCAAACTTTCTCAACTACGCATGCACTGGCATTATGGCCTTCTTGATGACATCGACCACAAACTTGAACTCTCTTGTTACCAGATTTTTTCGTATAATCCATAAGTCCTTTCTTTCGATTCACACGCTTCCGACCTAGGCCAGCATGGTGTACGAGTAATGTATCATCAGGCCTCAGATGCCACGTTGCTTGTGGCCATGGTTGAAGGACTGGGTTGAATTCTCCAGAAAACTGAATAGCCCATTGTTCCCTACTATAAAATGAATCAAAAAGGGGTAATGGATCATGACGTAGATACCTGGCAACAGCAAGCGCATGGGAGCAAGGAAACCTGTATGTCTGCCACTTGTTACATGTGCACATCCTGGCGACGTAGCTTACCTCATGGATATTTCCACCCTTCCATGGCCGATCAGGTGGTGAGTACGTGACCACTTGGTACTTCTGATTCCTTTTGCTGAATCTGGTAACAGCATGACCCATCTGATGTATACGGTAATCCTCATAACGTTTCATGGGATTCGTCACGAGGGGTGAATGGCATTGGTCAATTTCATCTATGTTTTCCTGAAACAGCTTGTTAGTCTTATACAATGTGGCAAGAATCAAAGCAGTGATAGGGAGCATCCGGCAACCTTTTAAGACATTATTAAAACTCTCAGATATGTTCGAAGTCATTTCTCCCCAATGATATCCCCCGTCCCAATAACGGGTATACTTCTCAAGACCGATTTGCTGATGATATATGGCTGCATCTCTATTTTTACTTTCTAAATTCATCCATTCTTTTTCAAACTTCCCTTTCGCAACATTGAACAAGCCCTTTGACAAGGTCTTTTGAGTTTCTGCCCAGGAAAATTGCCAGCTGAATTTGCTTTGATTTGCTGCAGACAATAATGGTGCACTCCCATCCCTGGAAATTTATCAAGCATAACATCCATAGCAGCAAGAATACCTATATTGCGATCAGAGATAATGCAGGTCTCCTTGTCAAGTAGAACAAATTTTTTCAGGTATTTAAGGAACCATTTCCAGCTGTGCAATGTCTCTTTATCCACGAGAGCAAACGCGATGGGAACAATTGTGTTATTCGAGCACTTCACACATGCCACGATCAATGTTGCTTTGTATGAACCTCGGAGGTGGGTGGCGTCAACGGTTATGACCGGCCAAGCAGCTCTAAATAAATGTATAGCTGGCCCAAATGCCCAAAAATTGTACCTGCACACCTTTTTCTTCCGATTCTTGGTATCTTTAGTGAACTTAAACTGCAAACGGGTATCTGGGTTTGCTTTGAGCAATGCTTCCCGAAAACTGGGCAGTTGTTGAAAGTTGTTTTCCCATGTGCCATACAGACTCTCAAGTGCTTTTCTTCGACCATGCCATGCCTTTTTGTAATTGGGGGTGACCCTATATCTCTTATTTACTTCGACTTAGATCTGCGCGACTGAATAACCTGGATCTTTTCGGACATTGGCTGCGATCAATCAAGCAATCATTGTGGACGTCAAGTTACGACCTTCGTTTCTTATGGTTGCACCAAGACAGTTGTGGCTCTCGATCCATACCACCATTCTCCAAGTATTTGTGTCTTTTTGCAGGGTAGCTGGACATTTCCACAAGCAAGTAGTGCCGTGGAGAAGTTCTTTTGGGTACTTCGGCCCTTTAGTCTCGCATTCAGTGGCCCACGTATAGGGACGGCTATATTTTACCCGACATGCTCGACCCTGTCGCAATGTCCATTCCCCCACAGCTGTTTGTACCTCTTTCTTGTTAGCAAAATGTACACCATGTCTAACCGTCTGCCAATTACCGTCGCACATTGTGATCCCATCAGAATCCACATCCAGTTCAGACTTGTCCATGTCACTGATGTCGTCAAAAATAGAAGGTACTACTGAAGATGTGTCATGGTCACTGTAATCATCATCAGACTCATCGGACGGCACATACTCCTCGTCACTGTTCCCATGTACGTCATCTTCTTTGTCATCGTCATCTTCATTGGTACCACCAACACCACTACTCCCTGCACCATCATACTGACCACCACTAATTCCTTCCCCAACATCTTGAACAGGTTCATCTGCAACCTCTACGTGCAATGCTGGATGCAAATGGGCACCTCAGTAAATCCATGACATTGACTTGTCGTCTCTTATGGGCGCTTGCCCCCTTCTGCCATACTCATCTGTGCAGACTAAAACATATTGCAGAGGAAGTATTTGTTGGTTCTTAGATTCCAACAGCCTGTGTACATAATTATCAAGTTCAGAGAAACTCCACA